TAGCTAGACTCAAATCCAATATGGCAGAAAGCCCTTGACGCGGCAATTTCACGTGTATTTTAGGTTAGTTTAGGTTTAGGTTTAGGTTTAGGTTTAGGGTTAGGTTAGGTTAGGTTCAAAATTCCAAGAGCTCAACACCCACTCAAATACAAAGTCTCCGGCCCTGCATGCAACACAATGATTTTGCGTCGATTGTTGGCTACGGATGATCTTTTTTGCATCAATTCGTCACTCAATCGGCCTTTGGAGTAATATTTAACTGTTTCGACAACTCTAAAAGCGTTTGAGCTGGATTCTCATCAAGTAATTCTTGCAGCTCGACATTCAAATTTTTTGGGCTGTCCTGGACGTTCTTTGTGTCTCACCGTTTTGGAAGCGTTCAAACCAAACTCTACATGTTCTTTCCGACGGAGTTGCATCACCATACACTTCGGATAATAAGCGATGGGCTTCAGCTGCGGTTTTCTTGAGGTCGAAGTAGTGAAGAAGCACATGTCGGAAAAACAGCTTATCGCGATTCATTTTCAATCGATTGGAAAATCTCTTTGGCGTCGAGAAATCTAACCTGTGAGGATTGAATCACTTTCAGCGATGTCTAAATTACAAAAGACATATAACTTCATCGTCGAAACTCGCCAGCGTTGGAGCTAGCACCCACTAGTAGCGAGCGGCAGGAATTAAGTTTAACACCTAATACATAAGTTATTTACAAGTAAACCTACCCAAGTGCCACCCGCCGATCTTAATGAAACTTGGCATACTTTCAAAACACCGAAAAATATTGGATACGTATTTTTTTATACGTCCCCATAAAGCGTTTTAAAGGGATACAAACCACCCCCACAATATAAAAATTAACCCTTTTTGTGATTAATAAATAATAAATGAAGTAAATAAATTATCATTCCATTTGCAACTGATGTATGTAATTGGTGCACCTGAATAAAACTAGACACTGCATTTACAGTAGATGGTGAATCGAACCGAGCTTCAACAATTATACCAATATTGTTTCTAGTTAATAATCGCATTACAAAGTTAAAAACAAAAGAATGACAATGAATCCGAACAATATTTTATATCCGAATACATTTTTGTAAGATTAACGCTACTTAATTGTTAGTTATTAATTTTATATTTTTTTCACAAGTCACAAAAAGGGTTAATTTTTATATTGTGGGGGTGGTTTGTATCCCTTTAAAACGCTTTATGGGGACGTATAAAAAAATACGTATCCAATATTTTTCGATGTTTTGAAAGTATGCCAAGTTTC